TAGGCTCGCGCCCGCCCTCCGCAGGCGCCAACAGCGGCATCGGGAAGATGACGGCGCTGGAGCTGGCGCGCCGAGGAGCGCGCGTGGTGCTGGCCTGCCGGAGCCGGGAGCGCGGTGAGGCTGCCGCCTTCGACCTCCGCCAGGTGAGGGAGGGTAGGGGTGGGTAGGACGGTGAACAGAGGACAGAGACGCCGGGACACAGAGAGGTGAAACAGAGTGGCTCCGGGGGATCCGGTCCCTGAGAGGAGAGTGCGACTCCGTTCGTTGCGGAAGAGGTGGTGCACAGCAGCTCTAGTCACAGAAAAAGCGCACCAGACCCGGCTGGGCAAGGGGCTTCCTGAAGTAAATAATTGCTGTTCTAAGACGCTTAAGGATCCGTAGAAGTTACACTGATGAATGACAGTAGGAGGGGGAACAGCATATGCAAAGGCCCTGAGGCAAGAAAGCTGGTCTGACTTAAGAAACTGAAAAAGAAAAGGAAAAAAGGTTTCATGAGGCTGGAGCATGGAAGAGTATGAGGGGGAAAAAGCAAAATGAAGGGATCAGGGCCAGGTTCAGGAGGCCCTTACAGACCTTATTGAGGAGCTCAGATTTTATAGGATGGGCAGTGGAGGTCCAATGAAGGGTCCTCAGTAGGCTTTCGACTATCTAGAATAGCCTCTTGGAACCAACCTTCAGTGGCTGTGTGGTACATAGACTGGAGGGAACAAGAGGGGTGAAAGGAGACCAATGAAAAGTCTGTCATAGATTTTAGGGCAAAGCAGAGGGGACAATAATAATACAGTAATAGCAAATACCTACATAGTGCTGTGTGCCAGGGACTGTTCTAAGTATTTTACATATATTAACTCATTTAATCTTCACAACAACTGTATGAGATGGGCACTATTATGCTTCCCATTTCATAGTGAGAGAACTGAGGTCCAGAGAGTAAGTGTCTTTCCCAAGGTCACATTCTTGTAAAAGGCATAGTCAAGATTTACATCCAGAGTCTACACTCTTATCCACGTCATTCTAATGCATAGGGGCAGATCTTAGTCATAGTAGGAGGTAGACTCAGAATTTGGTGCCTGGGGAGGGGGGAGAGGAGAGAGGTGTCTGGTTGAACAAGCCCAGCCCTTGCTGCTCCACAGGAGAGTGGGAACAATGAAGTCATCTTCATGGCCTTGGACTTGGCCAATCTGGCCTCCGTGCGGGCCTTTGCTACTGCCTTCCTGAGCTCTGAGCCACGGCTGGACATCCTGATCCACAATGCCGGTGAGGGGCAGCAGGCCCTGCAGGGGGGCAGGGGGTGCTGGAGGCAGTCATCCCTTCCAGCCAGGTGTCCCTTCCAGCCAGGCATTGCTGAGGGTCGTGGACATGTGGGAAGGATGCCCCCTACTACCATCTCACAGATGGGGCCACCAAGGTCTATGGAGATCACTCCAGAGCAATTGCTCACACCTAGTCCCTGCCCCAGGGATCAGTTCCTGTGGCCGGACCCGGGAGCCCTTTAACCTGCTGCTGCGAGTGAACCACATCGGCCCCTTCCTGCTGACACATCTGCTGCTGCCCCGGCTGAAGACATGCGCCCCTAGCCGTGTGGTGGTGGTATCCTCAGCCGCCCACCGGCGAGGGCGCCTCGACTTCACACGCTTGGACCGCCCAGTGGTGGGCTGGCGGCAGGAGCTCAGGGCATATGCTGACAGTAAGCTGGCCAATGTATTGTTTGCCAGGGAGCTCGCCAATCAGCTTGAGGGCACTGGCGTCACCTGCTACGCAGCCCACCCAGGTGAGGTCTGGCTCTTTGGCTGCTTTGCTTTGCTTTGCTTCCCTTTCCCCTATCCTCGCCCTGTCCTGTGCTCCCCTAGCCTCTCGTTGAGCTACAGAATCTCAGAGCAGGAAGGAAAAGTGGTCCAAAGAGAGACCTGTTTCTTGCTGATCTTGGAACCAGGCTCTTTGTCTGTGTTCCTGCTTTCCTACACATGCTTGGATGCTGACTACTGGATAGGGTATGGCCATGAAAAAGGCCCAGGTTCTCACCCCACGGCGCCATCCATATGACTGATGATAATGATGAAAGATAATGATTTTTCATTCAAGAAGCATTTACTGAGTACCTACTATGTACCAGGCATTAATCTTGGTGCTGGAACATAGCAGTGAACCAACCAAAAGACCCTATCCTTGTATAGTTTACATTCTAGTTTAGGGGAGGGAGAGATCACTAGTAAATATATACAATGACAGATGGGGATAAAGTGCTGTGGAGAAAGATAAAACAGGTTAAGAGGAATATGAACTGACAGGACATATCTGAAAAGGTGACATTTGAATAGAGGCCTAAAGGAGATGAGAGAATGAATCATGTGGCCTTATGGGGAGAAGGGTGTAAAGAACAGATCAAAAAGCAAGTACAAAGGCCCTGAGGCAGAAGTGCCTGGTGTGCTTAAGAAAATCCAGGAAGCCTAGCATGGCGAGAACAGAGTGAGATGTGGTGTAGAGATGGGCCGGGTCATCTAGGGTCTGGAAGTCCACTGTAAGCATTTTGGCTTTTAGTCCAAATGAGTTAACTGATGAATAACCCCTGCCTTTAGGGAACAGGTTACTGGATAACAAGATCTGTCCCACCCATATTACCATACTGCATTCTAAATTGTCATTGCCTGTGGCTCATCAGTAATTATAATAGTGACAATAATAATCACAACTAGTAATTACAATAGTAACAATAATAATCGCAACTAATCTTTATCCCATATCTCTAGTGTCCAAAAGAGTGGCTGGTCTACCATAGGTGTTAATAAATGTTTGCTGGTTAAACAAAAGAACGGAACTTGAGCTAAAAGAAAAGATGGAGACAGAATTGTACCACACAGGGGACACAGCATGGGCAAAATCTGAGAGATGGAGATGTACAAGGAGTTTGGATGGAGAAGAGGCTTGCTGTTGGAAATGAGTGAGGTTACCTTGTAGGAGCCCCAAATGCCTAGTAAATACTACCCTGGTTTCCCTGGAACTAGACTCTGTTCCCCACTCCCTTCTAACCCTTTTTTTCCTGGCCCTCACCCTCTGTCCTCCCCACTCCTTCCTTTCTCCTGTTTACAGGGCCGGTGAACTCAGAGCTGTTCCTGCGCCATGTTCCTGGATGGCTGCACCCACTTTTGCGCCCACTGGCTTGGCTGGTGCTCCGGACACCAGGAGGGGGTGCCCAGACGCCCCTGTACTGCGCTCTACAGGAGGGCATTGAGCCCCTCAGTGGAAGATACTTTGCCAACTGCCATGTGGAGGAGGTGCCTCCACCTGCCAGAGATGACCGTGCAGCTCACCGGCTGTGGGAGGCCAGCAAAAGGCTGGCAGGGCTTGGACTGGGGGAGGATGCTGAATCTGATGAAGACCCAGGGACCCCATCTTCTCTGAGGAGTCCCCACCCTGAGAAGCCCACAGTTTCTGAACCCTACCCCAGCCCTCAGAGCTCACCAGACTTGTCTAAGGTCACACACCGAGTTTGGGTTAAAGCTGAACCTGAGCTACAAGCCTCCTAACCCCCCGGGGCTGGGATGCTTGCTATGGGACTTGGTGGCCCTTGAAAACCTTAGCAGTGTGCCAGTCCTTGGGCTGGCCATTGAGGAGTTTGCAATTTTTACCTCCATGGTTACTTTCTGGGGCTTCAAGGTATGACCTGGACAGCTCTTTTTCTAGTGGAAAGGAGGAAATAATGGGCGGTTATTTCTTTCTGAGGATCACAGTAAGCCAAGTTTGAGAGGCTGGGTGTGTGTGTGTGTACGCATGCGTGTAATATGCCAGACACTGCTCAGGAATTTGAATTTATTTCCAGGCCCCACCCTCAGTGATGCTGATCAGCCCTGGATAAGGGCCCGGGAATTTGTAATTTGATGTACTACCAATACTGAGAATTACCGAACTGAACCCTTTGTAACCGTGTAGCCAGATAGTTCAGTTATCCCCGTTTTTCAGAAACAGAGTTAGGCAGCAGAGGTAAGGGACTCGCCCAAGGTCTCACAGCTAGTGAGAGTAGGGACTAACGTCTGAACCCAGGCAGCCTGGCTCCAGGGCCGGCTGCTGTAAGGTGGCTGCTGAGGGTTGAGGCAGGGCAGGGCTGTTGTTATCCAGGCTCCCCGTGGGAGTAGAGGGACGCCTTCCCGGTGCTTTAGGGCTGGGCCCCCGCGACCCCGACCCGCGTGGTAATAAAGCGCGTAGACTACCGATGCTCCAGCGCCTCGCTGCCTCTCTCGCGGTGCCGGCCCCGCCCTCCGCGGCCCCACTTCCGGTGGGGCTGCGACCGCGGAGGGGCGCTGGCTAGCAGGC